CTGTATGTGTTACAACGGTATGTTACAACAGTGTTTGTTACAACAGTATGTGTTATAACAGTATGTGTTACAACAGTATATGTTACAACAATTTGTGTTACAACAGTGTGTGTTACAACAGTGTGTGTTACAACTGTATGTGTTACAACAGTATGTGTTATAACAGTGTGTGTTACAACAGTATGTGTTATAACAGTATGTGTTACAACAGTGTGTGTTACAACAATGTGAGTTACAACATTGTGTGCTACAACAGTGTGTGTTACAAAAGTGTATTACAACAGTGTGTGTTACAAAAGTGTATTACAACAGTTTGTTACAACAGTGTGTGTTACAATAGTGTGTGTTACAACCGTGTGTGTTACAACAGTGTGTTACAACAGTGTGTGTTACAATAGTGTGTGTTACAACAGTGTGTGTTACAACTGTATGTGTTACAACAGTATGTTACAACAGTGTGTGTTACAACAGTATTTGTTATAACGGTATGTGTTATAACAGTATGTGTTATAAGAATATGTGTTATTAGAATATGTGTTATAACAGTGTGTGTTTCAACAGTGTATGTTGCAACAGTATGTGTTACAACATTGTGTGCTACGACAGTTTATATTACAACAATGTGTGTTGTAACAGTTTTTGTTACAACAATGTTTGTTATAACAGTTTGTGTTATAACAGTATGTGTTACATCAGTGTGTGTTACAACAGTGTGTGTTAAAAACAGTGTGTGTGACAAAAGTACGTGCTATAACAGTGTGTGTTACAACAGCTTTCGCAGCTTCCGAGAATACCCGGATTCATGAATAACACATACATACATCCATTTAAGCAATCTATAACGTTTTACCGTGGGCTATACAGGACCAAAACAGATAAGATGACAGGAACGATAGGATCAGCTTCGCTGTCAGGTAAATCTAGAACAAAACATGCGGCCTTAATAACTAGTTAATGCTGTTCTGACGACCTAAAGTGGCGCCTTAGACAACCATTAGCCAGCAATATTAGGCTATTCGGGGACGCAGGCAGATTAGATAAATATGATCTTTGTCATTAACAAAAAGATGGGGTAAAGATTAATACAAAGTAGATTATAGGATGTCTACATAGCCCCGAGAAAGACGGGTGCTGACGAACTTTATGTTCTTTATTCTAGATAGATAGTTATTTTCAAACCGACTTTTTCAGTGAAAACAACTACGTGTCCTTTAAACACGGAGAGGGACTAGGGTACATTATGTTTAATTAAGTGTTGTTTAAACACTGAGAATGACTAAGGTACGTTATGTTTAATTAAGTGTTGTTTGAACACGAAGAATGACTAATCTACATTATGTATAATTAAGTGTTGTTTAAACACTGAGAATGACTAAGGTACGTTATGTTTAATGAAGTGTTGTTTAAACATGGAGAATGACGAAGGTACGTTATGTTTAATTAAGTGTTGTTTTAACGTGGAAAAGGATTAAGGTACGTTATGTTTAATGAAGTGTTGTTTAAACATGGAGAATGACGAAGGTACGTTATGTTTAATTAAGTGTTGTTTTAACGTGGAAAAGGATTAAGGTACGTTATGTTTAATGAAGTGTTGTTTAAACATGGAGCATGACTAAGGTACGTTATGTTTAAGTAAGCGTTGTAAATTCTTTATTTACATAAGATTATATTTACAACACAGGTGAATGACAACTTTCAACACAATTTTAGTAAAGTGGAGCCAAGTGATGAACTGAAGTGTTTCCTTTAGCTCTTTTCTTGGAATCGTGAGTAATACTCGTGTTAAACTGAGACATGACAAATACAACTGTTTAGTTATTTGGACAATATTCACACATTATTTCAATCAAAATGTAAAGACAAACGGTGCCTGGGATAAACGGTGCCTGAGACAAACGGTGCCTGAGACAAACGGTGCCTGAGACAAACGGTGCCTGGGATAAACGGTGCCTGAGACAAACGGTGCCTGGGATAAACGGTGCCTGAGACAAACGGTGCCTGAGACAAACGGTGCCTGAAATAAACGGTGCATGAGACAAACGGTGCCTGAAATAAACGGTGCATGAGATAAACGGTGCCTGAGACAAACGGTGCCTGAAATAAACGGTGCATGAGATAAACGGTGCCTGAGATAAACAGGATGGATCGTTTAAGGATACAGCGTAACATTTAAAACATAATAAATATTTATAGAATAGAAGTTCCACAACCAGTAGTGTACGAGATGGCATGGAATCGACAAATTTTTTCACCTGTACGCTAATTTCGCAAATAGGATGCCAGGATGGTAAACAGAACATGGCGAGAGTCTGTGGCCACCAATGTCCATATTTAGTACTGACCTGTCGCTGTATCCCAATGGCTTCCTTAACTAGTCACATAGCTTTCAGCTATGTTCAGTAATATATCCTTTCACTACTTCGGCCGATATAATATTCCGTTCCAATAAGACACCAATAAAAAGCGATATTGCTAATATTTGAAGAACAACTGATTCTTTACTCAAGACTTCACCTGATGAACTATCGGACACGACGAAAGTTTCACCTGATGAACTTTTGGACACCACGAAATCTTCACCTGATGAACTATCGGACACCACGAAATCTTCACTTGATGAACTATCGGACAACACAAAATCTTCACCTGATGAACTATCGGAAACCAGAAAATCTTCAACTGATGAACAATGGGACACCTCGAAATCTTCGCCAGTAGAACTATCGGACACCAGAAAATCTTCACCGAATGAACTTTCGGACACAAAGACATCTTCTCCTGATGAACTATCGGACACCACGACATCTTCACCTGATGACCTATAGGACACCAGAAAATCTTCACCTGGTGAACAATCGGACACCAAGGAATCTTCACCTGGTGAACTATCGGACACCACGAAATCTCCGCCAGTTGAACTATAGGGCACCACGAAATTTTCACCTGATGAACAATGGGACACCACGAAAGTTTCATCTGATGAACTATTGGACAACACGAAAGTTTCACCTGATGAACTATCGGACACCAGAATATCTTCACCTGATGAACAACTGGACACCACGAAATCTTCACCTAATGAACAATTGGACAGTACGAAATCTTCACCTGATGAACTATCGGACACCACGAAATCTCCGCCAGTTGAACTATAGGGCACCACGAAATTTTCACCTGATGAACAATGGGACACCACGAAATCTTCACCTGATAATCTATCGGACACCAGAAACTCTTCAACTGATGAACAACTGGAAACCACGCAATCTTCACCTGATGAACTATCAGATACCTTGAAAGTTTCATCTGATGAACTATCGGACACCACGAAAGTTTCACCTGATGAACTATCGGACACCAGAAAATCTTCACCTGATGAACAACTGGACACCACAAAATCTTCGCCAGTTGAAATATCGGACACCACGAAAGTTTTACCTGATGAACTTTCGGACACGAAGACATCTTCACCTGATGAACAATTGGACAACACGAAATCTTCGCCAGTTGAAATATCGGACATCACGAAATCTTCACCAGATGAACTATCGGACACCACGAAATCTACACCTGATGAACTATCGGACACCAGAAAATTTTCACCTGATGAACAACTGAACACCACGAAATCTTCGCCTGATGAACAATCGGATACCACGAAATCTTCACCTGATCAACTATCGGACACCAAAAATCTTCACCGGATGAACTATCGGACAACAGAAAATCTTCACCTGATGGACAATGGGACACCTCGAAATCTTCGCCAGTAGAACTATCGGACACTATGAAATCTTAACCTGATGAACTATCGGACACCAAAATATCTTCACCGGATGAACTTTCGGACACCACCACATCTTCTCTTGATGAACTATCGGACACCATGAAATCTTCCCCTGATGAACTATCGGACACCACGACATCTTCACCTTATGAACTATAGGAAACCAGAAAATCTTCACCTGATGAACTATCGGACACCACGGAATCTTCACCTGATGATCTATCGGACACAAGAAAATTTTCAGCAATAGGACACCACGAAATCTTCACGTGATGAACTATCGGACACCAGGAAAATTTCACCTGATGAACTATCGGACACCACGAAATCTTCACTTAATGAAATTTTGGACACCATGACATCTTCACCAGATGAACTATCGGATACCACGAAATCTTCACCTGATCAACTATCAGACACCACGAAAACTTCCCCTAATGAGCAATCGGACACCACGAAATCTTCAACTGATTAGCTATCGGACACCAGGAAATCTTCACCTGATGAACTATCGGACACCAGAAAATCTTCACCGGATGAACTTTCGGACACCACGACATCTTCTCCTGATGAACTATCGGACACCACGACATCTTCTCCTGATGAACTATAGGACACCAGAAAACCTTCACCTGATGAACTATCGGACACCACGGAATCTTCACCTGATGAACTATCGGACACCAGAAAATCTTCACCTGATGAACAACTGGACACAACGAAATCTTCACCTAATGAACTATCGGACAACAGAAAATCTTCACCTGATGAACAATGGGACACCTCGAAATCTTCGCCAGTAGAACTATCGGACACCATGAAATCTTCACCTGATGAACTATTGGACAACACGAAATCTTCACCTGATGAACTATCGGACACCACGAAATCTTCACATGATGAAATTTCGGACACCACGACATCTTCTCCTGATGAACTATCGGACACCACGAAATCTTTACATGATTAACAACTGGACACCACGAAAACTTCACCTGATGAGCTATCGGACACCACGAAAGTTTCACCTGATGAATTTTCGGACATCACGACATCTTCATCTGATGAACTATAGGACACCACGAAATCTTCACCTGATGAACTATCGGACACCACGAAAACTTCACCTGATGAACTATCGGACACCACGAAATCTTCACCTGATGAACAACTGGACACCAGGAAATTTTCGCCTGATGAACAAGCGGATGCCATGACATCTTCACGTGATGAACTATCGAAAACCAGGAAAGTTTCATCTGATGAACTATCGGACACCACAAAAGTTTCACCTGATGAACTTTCGGACACCACGAAATCTTCACCTGATAAAATATCGGACACCAAGACATCTTCACCTGATGAAATTTCGGACACCACGACATCTTTACCTGATGAACTATCGGACATCACGACATCTTTACCTGATGAACAATCTGACACCACGAAAGTTTCACCTGATGAAATTTCGGACACCACGACATCTTCACCTGATGAACTATCGGACACCACGACATCTTTACCTGATGAACTTTCGGACAACACGAAACCTTCACCTGATGAACCAGAGGACACCACGAAAGATTCACCTGATGAAATTTCGGAAACCATGACATCTTCACCTGATGAACTATCGGATATGACGAAATCTTAACCTGATGAACTATTGAACACCATGAAAAATTCACCTGATGAACTATCGGACACCACGAAAGTTTCACCAGATGAAATTTCGGACATCACGACATCTTCACCTGATGAACTATCGCCCGCCACGAAAACTTCACCTGATGAGCAATCGGAAAACAAGAAATCTTCAACTGATTAGCTATCGGAGACCAGGAAATCTTCACCTGATGAACTATGGGACACCAAGACATCTTCACCTGATGAACTATCGGACAACACTAAATCTTCACCTGATGAACTATCGGACACCACGACATCTTCTCCTGTGAACTATCGGACACCACGAAATCTTCACCTGATGAACTATCAGATACCACGATATCTTAACCTGATGAACTATCGGACAACACTAAATCTTCACCTGATGAACTATCGGACACCACGACATCTTCTCCTGTGAACTATCGGACACCACGAAATCTTCACCTGATGAACTATCAGACACCACGATATCTTAACCTGATGAACTATCGGACACCACAAAATCTTCACCTGATGAATTATTGGACAACACGAAATCTTCACCTGATGAACTATCGGACACCACGAAATCTTCACCTGATGAAATTTCGGACACCACGACATCTTCTCCTGATGAACTATCGGACACCACGGAATCTTCACCTGATGAACTATCGGACACCAGAAAATCTTCACCTGATGAACAACTGGACACAACGAAATCTTCACCTAATGAACTATCGGACACCAAAAAATCTTCACCGGATGAACTATCGGACAACAGAAAATCTTCACCTGATGAACAATGGGACACCTCGAAATCTTCGCCAGTAGAACTATCGGACACCATGAAATCTTCACCTGATGAACTATTGGACAACACGAAATCTTCACCTGATGAACTATCGGACACCACGAAATCTTCACATGATGAAATTTCGGACACCACGACATCTTCTCCTGATGAACTATCGGACACCACGAAATCTTTACATGATTAACAACTGGACACCACGAAAACTTCACCTGATGAGCTATCGAACACCACGAAAGTTTCACCTGATGAATTTTCGGACATCACGACATCTTCATCTGATGAACTATAGGACACCACGAAATCTTCACCTGATGAACTATCGGACACCACGAAAACTTCACCTGATGAACTATCGGACACCACGAAATCTTCACCTGATGAACAACTGGACACCAGGAAATTTTCGCCTGATGAACAAGCGGATGCCACGACATCTTCACGTGATGAACTATCGAAAACCAGGAAAGTTTCATCTGATGAACTATTGGACACCACAAAAGTTTCACCTGATGAAATTTCGGACATCACGACATCTTCACCTGATGAACTATCGCCCACCACGAAAACTTCACCTGATGAGCAATCGGAAAACAAGAAATCTTCAACTGATTAGCTATCGGAGACCAGGAAATCTTCACCTGATGAACTATGGGACACCAAGACATCTTCACCTGATGAACTATCGGACAACACTAAATCTTCACCTGATGAACTATCGGACACCACGACATCTTCTCCTGTGAACTATCGGACACCACGAAATCTTCACCTGATGAACTATCAGACACCACGATATCTTAACCTGATGAACTATCGGACACCACGAAATCTTCACCTGATGAATTATTGGACAACACGAAATCTTCACCTGATGAACTATCGGACACCACGAAATCTTCACCTGATGAAATTTCGGACACCACGACATCTTCTCCTGATGAACTATCGGACACCACGAAATCTTTACATGATTAACAACTGTACACCATGAAAACTTCACCTGATGAACTATCAGACACCATGAAAACTTCCCCTAATGAGCAATCGGACACCACGAAATCTTCAACTGATTAGCTATCGGAGACCAGGAAATCTTCACCTGATGAACTATGGGACACCAAGACATCTTCACCTGATGAACTATCGGACAACACTAAATCTTCACCTGATGAACTATCGGACACCACGACATCTTCTCCTGTGAACTATCGGACACCACGAAATCTTCACCTGATGAACTATCGGACACAACGAAATCTTCACCTGATGAATTATTGGACAACACGAAATCTTCACCTGATGAACTATCGGACACCACGAAATCTTCACCTGATGAAATTTCGGACACCACGACATCTTCTCCTGATGAACTATCGGACACCACGAAATCTTTACATGATTAACAACTGTACACCATGAAAACTTCACCTGATGAACTATCAGACACCATGAAAACTTCCCCTAATGAGCAATCGGACACCACGAAATCTTCAACTGATTAGCTATCGGACACCAGGAAATCTTCACCTGATGAACTATCGGACACCAGAAAATCTTCACCGGATGAACTTTCGGACACCACGACATCTTCTCCTGATGAACTATCGGACACCACGACATCTTCTCCTGATGAACTATAGGACACCAGAAAACCTTCACCTGATGAACTATCGGACACCACGGAATCTTCACCTGATGAACTATCGGACACCAGAAAACCTTCACCTGATGAACTATCGGACACCACGGAATCTTCACCGGATGAACTATCGGACAACAGAAAATCTTCACCTGATGAACAATGGGACACCTCGAAATCTTCGCCAGTAGAACTATCGGACACCATGAAATCTTCACCTGATGAACTATTGGACAACACGAAATCTTCACCTGATGAACTATCGGACACCACGAAATCTTCACATGATGAAATTTCGGACACCACGACATCTTCTCCTGATGAACTATCGGACACCACGAAATCTTTACATGATTAACAACTGGACACCACGAAAACTTCACCTGATGAGCTATCGAACACCACGAAAGTTTCACCTGATGAATTTTCGGACATCACGACATCTTCATCTGATGAACTATAGGACACCACGAAATCTTCACCTGATGAACTATCGGACACCACGAAAACTTCACCTGATGAACTATCGGACACCACGAAATCTTCACCTGATGAACAACTGGACACCAGGAAATTTTCGCCTGATGAACAAGCGGATGCCACGACATCTTCACGTGATGAACTATCGAAAACCAGGAAAGTTTCATCTGATGAACTATTGGACACCACAAAAGTTTCACCTGATGAAATTTCGGACATCACGACATCTTCACCTGATGAACTATCGCCCACCACGAAAACTTCACCTGATGAGCAATCGGAAAACAAGAAATCTTCAACTGATTAGCTATCGGAGACCAGGAAATCTTCACCTGATGAACTATGGGACACCAAGACATCTTCACCTGATGAACTATCGGACAACACTAAATCTTCACCTGATGAACTATCGGACACCACGACATCTTCTCCTGTGAACTATCGGACACCACGAAATCTTCACCTGATGAACTATCAGACACCACGATATCTTAACCTGATGAACTATCGGACACCACGAAATCTTCACCTGATGAATTATTGGACAACACGAAATCTTCACCTGATGAACTATCGGACACCACGAAATCTTCACCTGATGAAATTTCGGACACCACGACATCTTCTCCTGATGAACTATCGGACACCACGAAATCTTTACATGATTAACAACTGTACACCATGAAAACTTCACCTGATGAACTATCAGACACCATGAAAACTTCCCCTAATGAGCAATCGGACACCACGAAATCTTCAACTGATTAGCTATCGGAGACCAGGAAATCTTCACCTGATGAACTATGGGACACCAAGACATCTTCACCTGATGAACTATCGGACAACACTAAATCTTCACCTGATGAACTATCGGACACCACGACATCTTCTCCTGTGAACTATCGGACACCACGAAATCTTCACCTGATGAACTACAACAATCTTCACCTGATGAACTATGGGACACCAAGACATCTTCACCTGATGAAATATTGGACAACACGAAATCTTCACCTGATGAACTATCGGACACCACGAAATCTTCACCTGATGAAAACTTCGGACACCACGAAATCTTTACCTGATGAACTATCGGACACCACGAAATCTTCACCTGATTAACTATCGGACACCATGAAAATCTTCACCTGATGAACTATCGGACACCACCAGGAAATCTTCACCTGATGAACTATCGGACACCACACTATCGCCCACCACGAAAACTTTCTTCAACTGATTAGCTATCGGAGACCAGGGAATCTTCACCTGATGAACTATGGGACACCACGACATCTTCTCCTGATGAACTATCGGACACCAAGACATACTTCTCCTGTTGAACTTTCGGACACCACGTAAATCTTCACCTGATGAACTATCGGACACCAGAAAATCTTCACCTGATGAACAACTGGACAACACGAAATCTTCACCTGATGAACTATCGGACACCACGAAATCTTCACCTGATGAACTATCGGACACCTTCGAAAATCTTCACCTGATGAACTATCGGACACCACGAAATCTTCACCTGATGAACTATTGGACAACACGAAATCTTCACCTGATGAACTATATCGGACACCACGAAATCTTCTGATGAACATGATGACACCATCTTCACCTGATGATGAAATTTCGGACACCACGAATCTTCTCCTGATGAACTATCGGACACCACGAAATCTTTCACCTGATGAATTAACAACTGGAACTATCGGACACGAAAATCTTCACCTGATGAACTATCGGACACCATGAACACCTGATGAACGTACAAACGAAATCTTCACCTGATGATGAATGAAATTTCGGACACCACGACATCTTCTCCTGATGAACTATCGGACACCACGAAATCTTCATGATTAACAACTGGATGAAAAACCTGATGAGCTATCGAACACCACGAAAGTTTCACCTGATGAATTTTCGGACATCACGACATCTTCATCTGATGAACTATAGGACACCACGAAATCTTCACCTGATGAACTATCGGACACCACGAAAACTTCACCTGATGAACTATCGGACACCACGAAATCTTCACCTGATGAACAACTGGACACCAGGAAATTTTCGCCTGATGAACAAGCGGATGCCACGACATCTTCACGTGATGAACTATCGAAAACCAGGAAAGTTTCATCTGATGAACTATCGGACACCACAAAAGTTTCACCTGATGAAATTTCGGACATCACGACATCTTCACCTGATGAACTATCGCCCACCACGAAAACTTCACCTGATGAGCAATCGGAAAACAAGAAATCTTCAACTGATTAGCTATCGGAGACCAGGAAATCTTCACCTGATGAACTATGGGACACCAAGACATCTTCACCTGATGAACTATCGGACAACACTAAATCTTCACCTGATGAACTATCGGACACCACGACATCTTCTCCTGTGAACTATCGGACACCACGAAATCTTCACCTGATGAACTATCAGACACCACGATATCTTAACCTGATGAACTATCGGACACCACGAAATCTTCACCTGATGAATTATTGGACAACACGAAATCTTCACCTGATGAACTATCGGACACCACGAAATCTTCACCTGATGAAATTTCGGACACCACGACATCTTCTCCTGATGAACTATCGGACACCACGAAATCTTTACATGATTAACAACTGTACACCATGAAAACTTCACCTGATGAACTATCAGACACCATGAAAACTTCCCCTAATGAGCAATCGGACACCACGAAATCTTCAACTGATTAGCTATCGGAGACCAGGAAATCTTCACCTGATGAACTATGGGACACCAAGACATCTTCACCTGATGAACTATCGGACAACACTAAATCTTCACCTGATGAACTATCGGACACCACGACATCTTCTCCTGTGAACTATCGGACACCACGAAATCTTCACCTGATGAACTATCAGACACCACGATATCTTAACCTGATGAACTATCGGACACCACGAAATCTTCACCTGATGAATTATTGGACAACACGAAATCTTCACCTGATGAACTATCGGACACCACGAAATCTTCACCTGATGAAATTTCGGACACCACGACATCTTCTCCTGATGAACTATCGGACACCACGAAATCTTTACATGATTAACAACTGTACACCATGAAAACTTCACCTGATGAACTATCAGACACCATGAAAACTTCCCCTAATGAGCAATCGGACACCACGAAATCTTCAACTGATTAGCTATCGGACACCAGGAAATCTTCACCTGATGAACTATCGGACACCAGAAAATCTTCACCGGATGAACTTTCGGACACCACGACATCTTCTCCTGATGAACTATCGGACACCACGACATCTTCTCCTGATGAACTATAGGACACCAGAAAACCTTCACCTGATGAACTATCGGACACCACGGAATCTTCACCTGATGAACTATCGGACACCAGAAAATCTTCACCTGATGAACAACTGGACACAACGAAATCTTCACCTAATGAACTATCGGACAACACAAAATCTTCACCGGATGATGATGAACAATGGGACACCTCGAAATCTTCGCCAGTAGAACTATCGGACACCATGAAATCTTCACCTGATGAACTATTGGACAACACGAAATCTTCACCTGATGAACTATCGGACACCACGAAATCTTCACATGATGAAATTTCGAACACCACGACATCTTCTCCTGATGAACTATCGGACACCACGAAATCTTTACATGATTAACAACTGGACACCACGAAAACTTCACCTGATGAGCTATCGAACACCACGAAAGTTTCACCTGATGAATTTTCGGACATCACGACATCTTCATCTGATGAACTATAGGACACCACGAAATCTTCACCTGATGAACTATCGGACACCACGAAAACTTCACCTGATGAACTATCGGACACCACGAAATCTTCACCTGATGAACAACTGGACACCAGGAAATTTTCGCCTGATGAACAAGCGGATGCCACGACATCTTCACGTGATGAACTATCGAAAACCAGGAAAGCTTCATCTGATGAACTATCGGACACCACAAAAGTTTCACCTGATGAACTTTCGGACACCACGAAATCTTCACCTGATAAAATATCGGACACCAAGACATCTTTACCTGATGAACTATCGGACATCACGACATCTTTACCTGATGAACTATCTGACACCACGAAAGTTTCACCTGATGAAATTTCGGACACCACGACATCTTCACCTGATGAACTATCGGATATGACGAAATCTTAACCTGATGAACTTTTGGACACCATGAAAAATTCACCTGATGAACTATCGGACACCTTGACATCTTTACCTGATGAACTATCGGATATGACGAAATCTTAACCTGATGAACTTTTGGACACTACGACATCTTCTCCTCATGAACTTTCGGACACCACAAAATCTTCACCTGATGAATAATCGGACACCACGAAATCTTCATCTGATTAACAACTGGACACCACGAAATCTTAACCTGATGAACTTTCGGACACTAGGACATCTTCTCCTGATGAACTATCGGATACCACATCTTCACCTGATGAACTATCGGACACCACGAGGTCTTCTGCTGATGAACTATCGGACACCACATCTTCAAATGATGAACTATCGGACACCGTGAAATCTTCACCTGATGAACTATCGGACATCACGATATCTTCACCTGATGAACTATCGGACACCACGAAATCTTCACCTGATGAACTATTGGACAACACGATATCTTCACCTGATGAACTATCGGCCACCACGACATCTTCTCCTGATGAACTATCGGATACCACGAAATCTTCGCCAGTTGAAATATCGGACACTACGAAATCTTCGCCAGTTGAACTATCGGACACAACGACATCTTCTGCTGAAGAACCATCGGACACCACAGCTTCACCTGATGAACTATCGGACACTGCGAAATTTTCACCTGATGAATATTTGGACACCACGAAATATTCACCTGATGAACAATCGGACACCACGACATCTTCTCCTGATGAACTTTCGGACACTACAATATCTTCACCTGATGAATAATCGGACACCACGAAATCTTCATCTGATTTACAACTGGACACCACGAAATCTTCATCTGATGAACTATCGGAAACCACGATATCTTCACCTGATGAATTATCGGACACCACGAAATCTTCACCTGATGAACTATTGGACACCACGAAATCTTCACCTGATGAACTATTGTCCAACACGAAATCTTCTCTTGATGAACTATCGGACACCACGAAATCTTTACATGATTAACAACTGAACACCACGAAAACTTCACCTGATGAGCTATCGGACACCACGACATCTTCTGCTGAAGAAACCATCGGACACCACATCTTCACCTGATGTACTATCGGACACTGCGAAATCTTCACCTGATGAACTATCGGATATGACGAAATCTTAACCTGATGAACTTTTGGACACCACGAAATCTTCACCTGATCAACTATTGGACATCACGAAATCTTCACCTGATGAACAATTTGACTCCTCAAAATGTTCGCCAGTTGAACTATCGGACACCATGAAAAATTCACCTGATAAACTATCGGACACCACGAAAGTTTCACCTGATGAAATTTCGGACATCATGACATCTTCACCTGATGAACTATCGGACACCACGACATCTTTACCTGATGAACATTCGGACACCACGAAACCTTCACCTGATGAACTATCGGACACCACGAAAACTTCCCCTAATGAGCAATCGGACAACATGAAATCTTCAACTGATTAGCTATCGGACACCAGGAAATCTTCACCTGATGAACTATGGGACACCAAGACGTCTTCACCTGATGAACTATCGGACAACACTAAATCTTCACCTGATAAACTATCGGACACCACGAAATCTTCACCTGATGGAATTTCGGACACCACGACATCTTCTCCTGATGAACTATCGGACACCACGACATCTTCTGCTGAAGAACCATCGGACACCACATCTTCACCTAATGAACTATCGGACACTGCGAAATCTTCACCTGATGAACTATCGGATATGACGAAATCTTAACCTGATGAACTTTTGGACACCACGAAATCTTCACCTGATCAACAATTGGACATCACGAAATCTTCACCTGATGAACAATTTGACTCCTCAAAATGTTCGCCAGTTGAACTATCGGACACCACGAAAGTTTCACCTGATGAAATTTCGGACATCATGACATCTTCACCTGATGAACTATCGGACACCACGACATCTTTACCTGATGAACTTTCGGACACCACGAAACCTTCACCTGATGAACTATCGGACACCACGAAAACTTCACCTGATGAGCAATCGGACAACACGAAATCTTCAACTGATTAGCTATCGGACACCAGGAAATCTTCACCTGATGAACTATGGGACACCAAGACGTCTTCACCTGATGAACTATCGGAGAACACTAAATCTTCACCTGATGAACAACTGGACACCAGGAAATTTTCACCTGATGAACAAGCGGATGCCATGACATCTTCACGTGATGAAATATCAAAAACCAGGAAAGTTTCATCTGATGAACTATCGGACACCACAAAAGTTTCACCTGATGAACTTTCGGACACCACGAAATCTTCACCTGATGAAATATCGGACACCACGACATCTTCACTTGATGAAATTTCGGACACCACGACATCTTCTCCTGATGAACTATCGGACACCACGAAATCTTCTGCTGAAGAACCATCGGACACCACATCTTCACCTGATGAACTATTGTACACTGCGAAATCTTCACCTGATGAGCTATCGGACACCACGAAATCTTCACCAGTTGAACAACTGGACACCAGGAAATTTTCACCTGATGAACAAGCGGATGCCATGACATCTTCACGTGATGAAATATCGAAAACCAGGAAAGTTTCATCTGATGAACTATCGGACACCACAAAAGTTTCACCTGATGAACTTTCGGACACCATGAAATCTTCACCTGATGAAATATCGGACACCACGACATCTTCACTTGATGAAATTTCGGACACCACGACATCTTCTCCTGATGAACTATCGGACACCACGAAATCTTCTGCTGAAGAACCATCGGACACCACATCTTCACCTGATGAACTATTGCACACTGCGAAATCTTCACCTGATGAGCTATCGGACACCACGAAATCTTCACCTGATGAACTTTCGGACACCACGAAATCTTCTCCTGATGAACTATCGGATACCACGACATCTTCTCCTGATGAACTATCGGATGCCACATCTTCACCTCAGGAACTATCGGATATGACGAAATCTTAACCTGATGAACTTTTGGACACTACGACATCTTCTCCTGATGAACTATCGGATACCACATTTTCACCTGATGAACTATCGGACACCACGACATCTTCTCCTGATGAACTATCGGACACCACGAAATCTTTACATGATTAACCACTAGACACCACGAAAACTTCACCTGATGAGCTATCGGACACCACGAAATCTTCACCTGATAAACTATCGGACACCACCATATCTTCACCTGATGAACTATTGGACAACACGAAATCTTCACCTGATGAACTATCGGACAGTACGAAATCTTCACCTGATGAACAATTGGACACCACGAAATCTTCACCTGATGAACTATCGGACACCAGGAAATCTTCACCTGATGAACTATCGGACACCACGGAATCTTCACCTGATGAACTATCGGACACCACGAAATCTTCACCTGATGAACAATTGGACACCACGAAATCTTCACCTGATGAACTATCGGACACCAGGAAATCTTCACCTGATGAACTATCGGACACCACGGAATCTTCACCTGATGAACTATCGGACACCACGAAATCTTCACCTGATGAACTTTCGTACACCACGAAATCTTCTCCTGCTGAACTATCGGATGCCACATCTTCACCTGATGAACTATCGGATATGACGAAATCATAACCTGATGAACTTTTGGACACTACGACATCTTCTCCTGATGAACTATCGGATACCACATTTTCACCTGATGAACTATCGGACACCACGACATCTCCTCCTGATTAACTATCGGAAACCACGAAATCTTCGCCAGTTGAAATATCGGACACAACGACATCTTCTGCTGAAGAACCATCGGACACCACGAAATCTTTACATGATTAACAACTGGACAACACGAAAACTTCACCTGATGAGCTATCGGATACCACAAAATCTTCACCTGATGAACTATCGGATATGACGAAATCTTAACCTGATGAACTTTTGGACACCACGACATCTTCTCCTGATGAACTATCAGATACCACATCTTCACCTGAAGAACTATCGGACACCAAGAAATCTTCGCCAGTTGAACTATCGGACACCACGACATCTCCTCCTGATGAACTATCGGACACCACGACATCTTCTGCTGAAGAACTATCGGACACCACATCTTCACTTGATGAACTATCGGACACCACGACATCTTCTCCTGATGAACTATCGGATACCACATCTTCACCTGATGAACTATCGGATACCACATCTTCATCTGATGAAATATCGGACACCACGAAATCTTCACCTGATTAACAACTGGACACCACGAAAACTTCACCTCATGAACTATCGAACACCATGAAATCTTCGCCAGTTGAAATATCAGAAACCACGAAATCGTGACCTATTGAACTATCGGACACCACGACATCTCCTCCTGATGAACTATCGGACACCACGACATCTTCTGCTGAAGAACTATCGGACACCACATCTTCACTTGATGAACTATCGGACACCACGACATCTTCTCCTGATGAACTATCGGATACCACATCTTCACCTGATGAACTATCGGATACCACATCTTCATCTGATGAAATATCGGACACCACGAAATCTTCACCTGATTAACAACTGGACACCACGAAAACTTCACCTCATGGACTATCGAACACCATGAAATCTTCGCCAGTTGAAATATCAGAAACCACGAAATCGTGACCTATTGAACTATTGGACACCACGAAATTTTCACCTGATGAACTTTCGGATACCACCAAATCTTCGCCAGTTGAACTATCGGACACCACGACATCTTCACCTGTTGAACAATTGGACACCACGAAATCTTCACCGGGATTTACAAGTATTGCAACATATCGACTTTGTCAGAATTTTAACAAAGCAAGTCTTCAATAATGAAAATATAGCCTTGATATCATGTCATTTAGATATGATTACGTCTCATTTATTTCATTCCCTATAGTCGGGCAGATTTATTAAAAAAAACCCGAAATGTGTATTAAAATTATCTTGGTTGTTAGAATGAGTCAACATCTATTTTAAATTCATACAACTGTATTTTAGCGATTTACCAGTATCGCAATTATATATATATATATCACAGACTTTAGATGCACGAGGATGTGTGTACTTCTGATGTCTTAAACTACATTGGTTTATACCGAGACAGTTTCTAAAAATATATTTCATTGAAAAGTTTTATTTATTGGGTTGTCTGTCGTACCTTCATAACAATTCATTAGTATTCCAAAGAAGTGTCTAAAACCAGTTACAGCAATAGTACAAAAAAGCTGTGTATATTGTAAACATAAATACAGTACGTCCTGGATTTTGGGATAACCAAAGTTACCAATATTTTGTATACAAAACCGATGACACTGGGGTCAGCCGAATATCCTAAAAAAAATATAGATTGTTGTCTGGGTTAGCCTATCGGCATAGAGGAATCTTGATTATACGATATGTTTACAATGTTTTACAGTAATTAAAAACTCATCCTAAACTTTCTCCTATGTTAACAGGAAGTTCTAAAAACACCCATCACACATAAAAAAAAAAAAAAACCCATAAAACCGTCGATTGAAATAAGCGCGCGAAAATATATAGTGTCTCTACAGGATCGGGAACCGGGTATTTACTACAGTAAACATCTAGTTTGAGAAAGCACTTTTAATCCACTTAATCATGGGATTAGTTCACCTCCCGAACACGAGCTTCTTTCGATTATTCTTGATTTTCTTGTAAGGTTTAGATTTATGGTTCTATTCTATACCATGTTTTTGGAAGTTCGCTGAAACGCTGGTGGCTTAATGAAAAAGGGATTTATCTGCAACATACAAATGTTATGTTCCTGTTGATTTGATCAGTTGGTAGGACATACTTAGACGGTTGAAAATTTTCAATCTTTGATCTATCATGCCTTGTTGAGAAGCTGATGGTTTCTACGAATTCACCGTTTTCCAGTTGCCTTATGTTCGTCTATTTAGGTATACGAGACATTTTGTACGGAGTTAGGTGGAAAGTTTCAGCTGTCTCACGAACGTCACTCAATAATATTCAATAAAATGATTTGAACGATCCTTCTCGTTAGATTATGAAGAAGAGATAGAAAAGTATATTGATTGGCATCCACTGATCATGTTGATCGCCTGAATTCCGACAGATACTTATTACTGCCAACCTTCTGACACAGGTCCACAACCGAAAAATCTAATAAGGGACACGCACTGCTTTATGTTCACTTAATCTGCTCTGTATCCGCGACCATCACTATATCTATACACACACAGTAACACAAAAAAAGCCTGCATTGGTCTATCTTATATTAACATTAACGGTTGGTATAAATGAGTTTGCAATATTGGACACATTCTTATAACGTGTTACATTTTGTACAGTTCATATCTTAATAAAAGCAGAAAACAGTTACATATGATTATCCTACAACTGAAGCTGCCATTGTCGGGATACATTTTGCAACATATTTTTTGCTGTATTCGGCAGCAATTATTTTGGCGTATTGTTAACGTCAGGCGAACCAAGATTGAACAACAAAACTGTTGAAGTTTTGATGGATTTATTTAAACTGCATTTTGACTTGGGAGAGAAAGGCAAAAGTGGCTCGCCAAAGGACGGCTTATACTTTAAAACACTGACTATGTATTCTCTATATACACAACTGAACACATATTTCGTCTTTTAGAACAGCTTTTGCATAAACAATTATTTAGAAACTGGTGTCTTAACACATAGAAACATGCAGACGACATCTTCTTACCTCAATTTCTCTAATGAAGAAACCAAATTTTAGCTTGTCTGGGCAAGCGACATTCTTATTAGAGAAGGCGTTATTGCTTAATGGTGTATGCGTATATCTATACAACTAAATTATAGTCTTTCATTTCCTCTAGGTATTTAACTGCATCAGATGGCTGTCACAATTGTATTATCAGCCCCAAGTATTGACTAGTCATTTTGTACCGACACACAATTCCCACGGAGACCTGTTTTACTATATATGTAGCGTGTTGAAAATAAATATACCGGAGCAGAACGTGTGGCAATACAACGTAACGTCACTTATATCTACCCAGACATCTATTACATTCTGTAATGATTAGGGAATCACCCAATAATTCGGAGTCGTCAGATCTAACTATACCATCAGGGACACAGTCAATGTTTGGATGTTCACAACATTGTCATTCACGTTATCGTTATAGCTTGTTAGTACATTTAGTTCAGCAGAAATGTCCGGCGATGTTCTTGTTATTGGGGTTGATCTTATTCACACACAGAATCAGAATGTTCATTAAGGAAATGCTTTACAGATCAACACAGTAGGATGTCCCGTGCTAAAGCTCCAAATATTTGGGTCAAAGGAGAAAAATGAGATGACTAAATCCACAAAGCAAATTCTTCAGACAGAAGTAGGTAACAAAAACAACTCGAACATACCAACATGTCAATATACTCCGAACTCAGTAACACTAGGGCGAATAGGAACAAAGAAAAGATTTACGTGGACACTCCTCACAAAGTACAAGGAAAATAAGCCCTGGGTTTCCGGACAACACCCGCCATATAAATCTTAGTAAATCCACATAAATAATGGCAAGTATTATCAAACAAGGTAATACAAACAAAGAATCAACAGGCAAACAGAGCATCTAACACTCCCAGATTCATGTGACACAAAGACATTTCTGAATTTCTTTGACGAAACTTAAACTTCCTTATAATTTCCATTACCCTATATCTTTCGTGATGAGTTTATCCGTAATTTGACGACTTCTAGGACGAAAATTGAGAAAACAAAAAGAATAAACGAAACGATAATTAAACTGCTCAAAATGAATGAAAACAATTTTTTTTATTAGCACAACAAATGATATAAAGGTGCCGTCTTTTCAAATGCAATCTTGAACACTTTCTGATGGTAACAATGTTATATCGGATTATTTACTTGATTACTCAAGCATTTGCACAACGTTTAAGCGTAGCTTGTTGAAACTATTTTCGAGACCATGAGTTGAAGAGCTACTGCAGGCAATCCTGTCGCAACCCAATACCTCTATCCGGTCTAACAACACAGATATATTTTTGATCAAAGCGTAAAGCCATCTATAATATGAAATTCAATCATCTTAACTCGAATCATGCTCTCTACAAAGTTGAATTGTAAAGCAGACATCAATTATGATTAAATTATTGAACGATTACGGGAAAGTTTTACGGTAGTCGTAATAATATAGAGAAAATAACTCTTTCCTATTATGAAGTTGGACGTTTTTGATGGTCGTAAGTTTACCTGGTGGACCCGTTGTTGTTTACTGAGTTTGCTGGTTGTTAGTAAACAACAACGGAACCAACAGGTAAACTGAGTTTGATGGTCGTTACTTTACCTGTTTGTTCCGTTGTTGTTTACTGAGTTTGATGGTCGTTAGTTGACCTGGTGGACCCGTTGTTGTTTACTGAGTTTGATGGCCTTCCCATGCCACTTATCTCACAGACTGATAGATTGACACAGGAAACAGTACTTCCCATGCCGCTCATCTCACAGACTGATAGATTGACACAGGAAGCAGGCCTTCCCATACTGCTTATCTCACAGACTGATGGATCAACACAGGAAGCAGTACTTCCCATGCCGCTAATCTCACAGAATGATGGATCAACACAGGAAGCAGTACTTCCTATGCCGCAAATCGCACAGACTGATGGATCAACACAGGAAACAGTACTTCCCATGCCGCTAATTTCACAGACTGATGGATCAACACAGGAAGCAGGCCTTCCTATGCCACTTATCTCACAGACAGTGACAGAATGCGAAAACTTTGTAATAGTGTATTGTTCCACGACAACACACCTGTACATAAATTGCACACTATTTTGCAATCTGTTTCCACCAACCAAACCAAAAATGCAACTGCTCGGAGCGTTTAGAGTTTCAAACAATATGGAGTCTTATTGAGACTTGTGAAGATTGGAATAGAGAAACCTTTGAAATAAAACCACGCCTAAGATAGACAGATTGCATTTTTGAGAACCAAATCACCGAATCAGATATAGGTTCATTTTTTGACATCGTCTTCTATTAAACTTTTTATTTTATATGAAGCTGCCGCGGTATATATTTTCAATATTTTTGTCACTTCACGTATTATTCACATTTTACCAATGATATGAGCTCAGACGCTATTGGATAATTTTTTTTAAAAAACTTGTTTTGAAATTGTGTATATCATCTTGACAATCGTATTCGTTCTTCGATTTTGGGAAAACTTGGATTTAAACTCTACTCTTAACGACTACATATTACACGTGCTGTCGTTAAACACAAGTATAGTTCCTATGTATGACACATCCCAGTGTAAAACATGATTATATTTTATTTTCATTAAATATATAATTTATTTCTAAAATTGTTTGCTAACATCGTTAGAGAGAAATCACATCGCTTCTATCTTTTCACGCTTATTTAGATGTTCGAACAGAAACTTAAACATTTATACTGAATTCTATTGTTTGGCGACAAATGCCTCACTTTATTTAAATTATTTTTATTATCATGTATTTAAACACGCGCAGAGCTCTGAGATACAATGAAGAATGCTTTAAGTGTTATAAAATCTCTGTTGGCTTTCTGCCTTTACTTTCTTTTGTTGAAATGTCTATGTTAGAGCACACTTCCCTCATACTGTGAAGGAAGCGAGATAACTCGTCCCACAGAAGCTATTTCCTGAATCAAAGAATTTTAAGCATGATATATGAAGATATGTCGATATCAATATCGTCAGAATGTCTCATCGTGAATATTTCCCACGCTAGGACTGTTTTATCCCCATCGCTGGTAATTTACTATTGCGATGTACGTAATGTGATGTGTTTGGAGTTTTCCGCGTTGGACATTATTACAGTGGAAAGTATTGCTGTAATACGAGTGACTCTTCTACTGGAATAGCACAATGGGTAACAAACGACTGTTTGAGGGAGGGGGGGCTACTGGAATAGCACAATGGGTAACAAACGACTGTAACAAACGACTGTTTGCGGGTGGGGGGGCTACTGGAATAGCACAATGGGTAACAAACGACTGTTTGAGGGAGGGGGGCTACTGGAATAGCACAATGGGTAACAAGCGGCCGTCTTGGAGGGGAGGCTACTGGAATAGCACAATGGGTAACAAACGACTGTTTGAGGGAGGGGGGCTACTGGAATAGCACAATGGTGTAACAAACGACTGTTTGAGGGAGGGGGGCTACTGGAATAGCACAATGGGTAACAAACGACTGTTTGAGGGGGGTGGCTACTGGAATAGCACAATGGGTAACAAGCGGCCGTCTTGGAGGGGAGGCTACTGGAATAGCACAATGAGTAACAAACGACTGTTTGGGGGGGGGGGCTACTGGAATAGCACAATGGGTAACAAACGACTGTTTGAGGGGGATGGCTACTGGAATAGCACAATGGGTAACAAACGACTGTTTGAGGGAGGGGGGCTACTGGAATAGCACAATGGGTAACAAACGACTGTTTGGGGGGGGGGGGGGGTACTGGAATAGCACAATGGGTAACAAACGACTGTTTGAGGGAGGGGGGGGGGGGGCTACTGGAATAGCATGATGGGTAACAAGCGGCCATGTTGACGGGGAAAGGGACGACTGGAATAGCACGATCGGTAACAAGCGGCCATGTTGACGGGGGAAGGGACGACTGGAATAGCACGATGGGTAACAAGCGGCCATGTTTACGGGGAAAGGACGACTGGAATAGCATGATGGGTAACAAGCGGCCATGTTGACGGGGGAAGGGACGGCTGGAATAGCACGATGGGTAACAAGCGGCCATGTTTACGGGGAAAGGACGACTGGAATAGCATGATGGGTAACAAGCGGCCATGTTGACGGGGGAAGGGACGACTGGAATAGCACGATGGGTAACAAGCGGCCATGTTTACGGGGAAAGGACGACTGGAATAGCATGATGGGTAACAAGCGGCCATGTTGACGGGGGAAGGGACGGCTGGAATAGCACGATGGGTAACAAGCGGCCATGTTGACGAGGGAAGGGACGACTGGAATAGCACGATGGGTAACAAGCGGCCATGTTGACGGGGAAAGGGACGACTGGAATAGCACGATGGGTAACAAGCGGCCATGTTGACGGGGAAGGGACGACTGGAATAGCACGATGAGTAACAAGCGGCCATGTTGACGAGGGAAGGGACGACTGGAATAGCACGATGGGTAACAAGCAGCCATGTTGACGAGGGAAGGGACGACCGGAATAGCACGATGGGTAACATGCGGCCATGTTGACGGGGGAGAGGACGACTGGAATAGCACGATGGGTGACAAGCGGCCCCATGCGGAGCTTCCTTTGCGGGTGCGTCTCTCAGCTTATCTTCCGCTCCGCAGTGGCGGGATATCATAGAAGATGCTTGGGCATTGGCTGTGGTCAGAGAGGGTCTAGGTATCCCCTATTTCGAAATCACCGCCCAGCCTACTTTCTTTCCTCCTCCGGGGAATGCTTCGCCAGCCTATGTCCAGAACGACACACCCTAGACCAGAGATCCTCCACTTTAACGCGTGGAAGCTATCTCTGGAAGACTCGCAAAGACAGGTTTTTTCTCGAGAGGTGTCAGATCGCATCGTGCGATAAATCAAGGCTTCCTCTTTTGCCGTCTACCAGTCACGATGGAAGATCTTCTGTGATTGGTGTGTTGGCAGGGAGGTTGATCCGTTCGAAACCTCTGTGCTGTTGAGTTCGGCAGCTGGCCCCACAGTGGAATCGAGCCCTGACTAAGGCTCCTTATGAACCTTTGGAATCTGCCTCGTTAAAGTTCGTAACTTTTAAAGCAGTCTTCCTTTTGTGTCTGGGCTCTGGACGTAGGAGGAGTGAAGTCCATACCTTGTCGTCGCTTCCTCCTTGCCTACATTAGTCCAGAAGCTACGCTGCCATAACTCTCTTAACTGATCCTTCCTTTTTAGCGACGAATCAGGTCCCGGGGTTCTCGCCCTCATAGGTTTCATCCTGATAAAACCAGGTTTGGGTGGGGATGGGGGTAGGGGGTGGGGGCGCTTTCGATCCCGTCTGTTTCGGTCCATCAAACAGGGACAACGAGATATCTCCTCCCAGTCGGTTTCCAAGTGGGTTTACCAGGTCGTTACGTACGCTTACGGACATTCTGATGATCAGGCTCGGGCGAGGGTGAACGTGCGGGCTCATGAGGTCAGGGCCCTCGCTGCATCCTGGGCCCTTCTCAATGGGTCCTCTTTTCAGGAGGTGATATCTGCAGCTTTTTGGCGGAGCAGGAATACCTTCAAAGATTTTTATCTGCGATCCCTAGCTTCCCACTCTAAAGGCCTGTAGTCACTGGAACCTCTGGTGGTGGCACAGTCAGTGGCTGTGCTTCCTCGTTACCCCCGGGGCATGTCTTTCCTTACGGCGGCACGTGGGTACACCTACTCCTACATGGGGAGGTCCCTTTCAAATCTCTGGCATTCTGTTCCCCATCCCTACTACTTTGGTTGTACTGGATGGGCTGCCTGGCATCTAGTCACCACTACGGTAAGACGAATTCGCATACGAAAGTTATGGTAATTATAACTGAAATGAAATTTTCATGAGATTATACTTACCATAACTTTATGGAGTCCCATTCTACCCTCCCCTCTTCCTTTTCTGCCTGGCTGCCCACTCAGTGGTGCTTCATAATTGTTGTTAGAGGAAGGAAGATCACTATGTTTCTGTCGTGATGGCTCATGGATCGTAGGGAGGGCGGGATTTTTTTTTTTTTTTTTTTATGGGGAGTGGGGTGGGGGCGGGGGGGGGGGGGGTGGGTGGGGGGTGGGGGGATGGGGGTGGTATATAAAGATGGGTGTAGGTATCATATTTGTTATGGTATGTATTACCTCATGACAATTGATTTTACATGAAAAAACCCGAATATGCACGGGTATGCGAGGAAAGTCTCTGTCTCTCTACTAATGTGCGATATCCTGCCGTACGTTTCTAGTTTTTTTTAACCAAGTACTGATGTCATTAGTTAGTTTCAATTCCTCTGTTCACAAGCTTACGTATCCTGCCAACTCATGATTCGGACATTGGTATTCACCACACTTAATTTTCGGGACATTCCTCCAGTCTCTACGATGGAAACGAGCTAAAAAATAAAAGATTTCTGAGCTATATCGTTTTTTTTTACATGTGTCAGGTTGTCTACATTCGTATTACTGGTATTCATTTCTGGTAAATTCAAAAGTAAACTTTCGGAATGATATCTGTGGTGATAATACTGACTTTGGTGTGAATTCGGTAAGTTTTCATGAAAAAAATATGAAAAAAATCCATTTTTTCCCCTTTTTGTCGTTGGTTAGTTTAAGTTGAAAAAATTGTCGTTGGTTGGTATTTTTTTTAAAAACGAGTATTGGCATTTTTTTTTCCAAGTGGCAAAAAAAATAAAGTTAAAAAGACGTTGAGGATGATGCAGATGATAACGTAGTGTGTGGTGTTTGTAGTAAACAGATGTAAAAGAGACAGAGGGAGAAGACGAAGCTAGTTACAGTGTGGTGTTTGTAATAAAACAGATGTAAAAGAGACAGAGGGAGAAGACGAAGCTAGTTACAGTGTGATGTTTGTAATAAAACAGATGTAAAAGAGACAGAGGGAGAAGACGAAGCCAGTTACAGTGTGGTGTTTGTAATCAAACAGATGTAAAAGAGACAGAAGAAGACGAAGCTAGT